TCTTCAGCAAAGTGGCAAACTACAAGATTAACTGCAAAAAACAAAAAACAGTAGCCCTACTATATACAGACAATAAATGGCCTGCAAAAGAAATCAGAGAAACATCAGCATTTACAATAGGCAAAAAATAACATAAAATACATCAAGGTAATGCTAATCAAACATGTGAAAGACCTGTATAACAAGAACTTTGAAACATTAAAGAAAGAAATTAAAGAATATACCAGAAAATGGAAAGATTTTCCATGCTTTTGGATAGGTAGGATGAAGACAGTAAAAACAGCAATATTGAAATAACAATCTACAGATTCAATGCAATTCCCATCAAAATCTCAGCACAATTTTTCACAGACCTTGAAAGAAAAATACTCAACTTTATATGGAAAAACATAAGACCCAGAATACCCCAAACAACCCTGTACAACAAAGGAACTTCAGGAGGCATCAACATCCTTGACTTCATCTCTATTATAGAGCTATAGTCCTGAAAACAGTTTGGTATTGGCACAAAAATATAGAGGTAGACCAATGGAATCCAATTGAAAATGCTAATATGGATCCACACCTACAAACACCTGATTTTTGACAATGAAGTTAAAATTATACAATGGAAAAAAGAAAGCATCTTCAACAAATGGTGCTGGCATAACTGGATGCTGGCATGTAGAACATTACAGATAGATCCATGTCTATCACCTTGCACAAAACTTAAGTCCAAATGGATCAAAGACCTCAACATAAATTCAGCCACACTGAATTTCTTAAAAGAGAAAGTGGGAGGTACCCTTGAATGAATTGGTACAGGAGACTGCTTCCTGAACATAACACCAGTAGCACAGACACTGAGATAAACAAATAAATGGGAACTCCTGAAACTAAGAAGTTTCTGTAAGATAAAGGACACAGTCAGCAAGACAAAAAGGCAACCCACAGAATGGGAAAAAATATTCACTAACCCCACATCTGACAGAGGGCTGATCTCCAAAATTTATAAAGAACTCAAGAAGCTGGTCACAAAAACACCAAATAATCCAATTAAAACGTGGGTTACAGAACTAAATAGAGAATTCTCAATAGAGGTATTTAAAATGGCCAAAAGACACATAAGAAAGTGCTCAACATCATTAGCCATTAGAGAAATACAAATCAAAACAACTCTGAGATACAATCTTACTCCTTTCAGAAAGGCTAAAGTCAAAAACACCAATGACAGTTTATGCTGGAGAAGATGTGGAGAGAGGGGAACACTCTTCCACTGCTGGTGGGAAAGCAAACTCGTACAGCCACTTTGGAAATCAGTATGTCGGTTCCTCAGGTAAATGGAAATCAGTTTACCACAAGACCCAGCAATTCCACTCTTAGGCATATACCCAAAAGCTTCACATTCATACAACAAGGGCATCTGTTCTACTATGTTCATAACAGCATTATTTGTAATAGCCAGAACCTGGAAGCAACCTTGATGTGCCTCAACTGAAGAATGGATAGAGAATATGTGGTACATTTACACAATGAAGTACTACTCAGCGGGGAAGAAAAAAACAATAGAAACTTGAAATTTGTAGGCAAATGAATGAAACTAGAAGAAACCATCCTTAGTGAGGCAACCCAGTCACAAAAAGACAAATATGATATGTACCCACTCATGTATGGATTTTAGACACAGAGCCAATGATTACCAGCCTACAATCCACACCACCAGAGAAGCTAGGAAACAAGGAGGAACCTGAGAGAGACATACATGGGCCCCTGGAGAGTGGAAAGGGACAAGATCTCCTGAGGTAATTGGGAACATGGGGGGAGGGAATAGGGAGTTATGAGAAAGAGAAGGGGAAAAGAGGCGGGTGCAGGAGGACATGAGAGAGCAGGAAGATTGAGTTAGGGGAAGAATAGAGGAGAGCAAGAAGAGAGATACCATAATAGAAAGAGTCATTATATGTTTAAAGAGAAATCTGGCAATAGGGAACTATCCAGAGATCTATAAGGATAAGCCCAACTAATAATCTAAGAAATAGTTCAGAGGCTACCTTAAATGTCTTTCTCAAATAACGAGATTGATGACCACCTTACATGCCATCCTAGAGCCTTCATCCAGTAGCTGATGGAAGCAGAAGGAGATATCCACACCTAAACAGTGAGCTTAACTCATGGAATCCAGTTGCAGAGGGGTAGAAGTGATGAGCAAAGGGGTCAAGACCAGGTTGGAGAAATCCACAGAAACAGTTGACCTGAACAAGGGGGAGCTCATGGACCCCAGTAAGAAAGCTGGGAAAGCAGCATAGGACTGATCCAGACCCCCTGAACAAGGATGTCAGTATGAATCTATAGGACCTCTGTTAAAGGTTCAGTATTTATCCCTAGTACACGAATGGATTTTGGGAGCCCACTGCACAGAGGGATATTCTCTCAGTCTAGATACATGGGGAAGGGTCTAGGCCCTGCTCAAAATGATGTAACAGACTTTGAAGATCCCCTATGGAAGGCCTAACCCTCCCTGGGGTGCAGAAAGGGCATGGGATAGGGGGTTGGTATGGGGCAGGGGAGGATGGGAGGGAACTGGGATTGATATGTTAAACAATCTTGTTTCTAATTTAAATTAAAAACACATATTCATTTAGTAGACCATTGTCTACTGTTACAGCCAAGTGATATGGCAATGGAGAATACAAATACCATCTCAGATGTTTAGGAAGACTGAAAAACAGGGATTATGTAAGTAGCCATTTCATACATTTTGCAAGCATCCTTTGTGTCCCCTAAGAAAATTCCATATCCCAAACTGTGATTCATTATAAAAGAATTACTAAGATGTAATTAACGCTGATGTGGGTATTAAAATATGGAAAAAATGATTTTAGCAGATTCAATCATGGTTATGGAGTGAACCCTAAATAGAAGAGGCAAAAGATGAAGCAAAAAATCCAGCAGAATCAATTTAAGAAGGATTTGGACAGTTGGTTTAAAGATGGAGAGAGTTTTTCTTCGTTATACTTTAGTCATATTGGATTTCTTTGTACTATGTTAATTTTTGGAGAGAAAGAAAAAAACAAGAAATAAGGTAGTCAGGAAGATGGGAGAGGATCTGGGAGACATTGAGGAAAGGGAAAGAATATGATCAAAACATAGTGTATGTCAAAAACTTTGAAATAATAAAAATACTTTAAAAACTGGACCAGTTTCACAGAAGAAACTAAATTATGCTAACAACCTTGACTGAACTCAAAAGAGAACTGTGTATGTCAGATGACAACCACTTAAAGAATTCAACTATTCTGTAGGAAATCTTACCAACAGAAACATTGAGGTGACAATAAATGGATGACGAAGTGCTAAATTTTTGATATTAAAAAAACTCGATGTGTTTTTATTCATGTTTTACCTACATGTATGTATGCACACCGAATGCTTGCTTAGTATCCTCAGAGGCTAGAAGAGGAAGTCAGATCCCCCAGAACTGGAGTTAGAGTTATGAACCATCATGTGGGTACTGAGAACTGATTCCAGGTCCCTTGGAAGAGCAGCCACTGCTCTTACCATTTGAACCATCTCTCCAGCCCTAAATTGTGATAATTGTTTTAACATTCATAAAGACTAATACAGTTCTGCAGTATTTCACATTGCCCAAATCTGTCATATTGAGAAAAACTTCTACGGTTCTGCAAACTTTCAAGTTATGAAGTTCTTATGTACTCCAAGAGGAAAAACAACTAATCTGGTTTGAGACAATGAAATTGAAGCAGTTAAGAATTAAAGCTGGTGTTGGAGAGATAGTTCAACAGTTAAAGGCTGGGTTTACAACCAAAAATATAAGAACTTGGAGCACATGACATTCCCCAAAGAAAGACAAAGGGTCTGAAGGCCAGCATCTTCTCCCCTAGAGAAATAGCATATCATAGGAGGATTTGAAAGACCAAAGGCCCACTCTGCTTCAACCCTCTGAGCATCAACAAACGGGAAAATTCCACCTGCTCTGATGAGGTGATAAGGGCTGTGTGGGACCGAAAAGCAATGTCTGTTGGTATATGACAGAAACAAAACTCCCGGATGACAACTATAGCAGTTTTCTGCGTGAATGGATTGCTTTTGGGAGCAGTTGTCTAAACTAGACTCTGACAAACAGATCATCCAAGGAAAGTCCTGTATGCTGGTATTATCAACACCTAGTTTCTACCCTTGGCCATGATGTGTAACCTTAGGCAAGTCCTTTTTCCCCTCTGAGTTTTTTTTCTCTATCTGTAAGAAGTTGCCTTGTAGCCAGTGACTCTCAAACTATGAGAATTAGACTCACCTGGAGAGGTAAGTAGCAGATGATGCGAAGCAACAAATTCCCCGTTGTAAGTTTCTCCCAGTGCCACACCATTCCCCCAAAAAGCCTGAGGCAAGGAATCTTGTTTTTATTATGTCATGCAAGAAAAGCCTTAGCCACAATATTAGTTGATTCATCGAGTATGTGGCCTGAAGCAGCTGAATCTCAGAACTCTGCATTCTTTGTTACATTTTAATCTGAAAATTAACTAATTTCGAGTCAGTTAACTAGCTATGCTCCTCCTAGTATTTGCAATTTCTGTTAATAATGTTTTGCTATTATTAAAATTTCCACCCACTGTTGCCTTTCTCATGTGAAATGAAGATGATAACCTGGCCAAAGACCAGCAGAGTTGTCCACTTTCATTACATCACGGCCTGAGCATAAAAGCTGAAAAGGTAGACAATGTGAATGACATGCTCAGCATCCCGGAGAGGAAGGAACAAAGCTAAGTCTTGACCACAGAGCTCTTGAAAGGTTCCTTCCAACTGCCACATGCTATCTTTCTACTGCTTCCGTTGCACAGTCTGACAGCCAAGTAACTTTCAATTTGCTTATTCCCCAGACTCGCTCTGCTATTCTTGGACATAGAGGAACTTCATTCACTTGTCAACACAGTTACAGGCCATGTGCAAACCAAAGCAAAAAACAGGACATTATGGACTCTCATCAGATAAGATCAGACTAAGTCAAGTGTTTCTCAAAAAATTTAATATGCATAGAAATCTCTTCTAGGGTCTTGTTAAAATACAGATTTCATATTCCAGATGTCTAGGGTGGATCCTAAGAATCTGCATTTCTAACAAGTCTCCAGGTAATGCTAATGTTGAAACTGATGTTTTTATTAATTCCATTTCTAAACATCCCCAGTCACATTTGGCGTTTATTTCCATTTGAAGATTTTTTTTATTTACGAATTTTATGTATATGGGTATTGTGTCTGCATGTACTTCTTCACATCAGAAGGGGCATTAGATCCCATGGTATACACTTATAGATGGTTGTGAGTTGCCATAAGGGTGCTGGGAACTTAATACAAGTACTTTTAACTGCTGAGACATCTCTCTAGCCCTGGGATTCATTTTCACTACTACTTTGGGACAGTGTGGTCAAGAGAAAGCCATCTGTAGTTTACAAGCTTGGATTTTTATGTTTTTAGGGTCTTCTGATGGACAAGTCACTGTCACCTCCTTGGGCCTCAAATTTCCTTATCTTTTTTGCACATTAACCATAGTTTATTATAGGGAGACTGAAAGTGGGGAGACAGACCTGACAGAGAGTAAGGTAAGGGGAGTAAGAGATAAGAGAGGATGCAAGAGAGAGTGTGTAAGTGGGAAGAGGTCTGTTCTTTAAAGGGGTATTATAGAGAGACTGAAAGGGGGGAGACAGACATGACGGAGAGAGGAAGAGGAGAGAAAAGAAGAGAGTCAAATTTCATTATCTACAAGACAGAATTGCCAGCTATCACTGATTGATGCTATGAGACCTGAGAGAATGGCAAAGACTATGCTGCAAAGAAAAGACTAGATTAAGACTCTTGGGTTCAAAAGAATTTTGTGCTGAGTTGTCTTCAGGTTTTTTTACAAAACAACATATGTGGTAGAGTGGGTGGATCATCATTTCTGATATGCTGAAATATTATTTCCATGATGAGACTGCAGATGGAGGGCATTTATACAAGAGAATCTGCACAGTTAATTGAAAAAGCACATGAATGAGCTCATGGATCTCACTTTTCTCTGATTTCACACACATAGCTCAAAACAGGCAGTGTTCCTATGAAAATTAAGCCTTTTTTCTTCACTGGCAATATCTGGTCAAATTATCTTGCTTCACTCTGGATTTTCTGTTGCTGTTGCTCCTAAAGCTTTTATAGGCTTCTAATGTGTCAAGGTCAACTGTCTGCTGCTTCTTTGATAACAGCTTTGCTGATCTATGTTCTCTCAAAAGCAATTATTTTGTGAGTTGCAGAATTACTTCCTTTACATGTTTGTCATTAATACAGAATTGAGGAATGTCTTGAAAAGGGAAGGATGCTTCCCTATTGTAGCCCACTACTTCCGAAGTACTCTTCTATGACACTTAGTTTTGTCCTGTGGTAGCTGGATACCCCATAACACCTCTTTTGAACTTGAAATATAAAAATTCAATGAGGTCTCTTTTATTAAATGACTCCCTGATTTTTGCTTTCACTGCAGAAAAACTCTGTAGGGATATGACCCCAGGGCATCAAATTCCACAAAGGCACAGAGAACTTTCCTGCTCCTCAAGCTGCATGTGTGGGTATTAACAGCCTTCTGGATGAAACTGTACACATGACAGGTAGTGGTGTACAAGGAAGCACAACAACACCTGGAAGGACCCTATATCTTTGGAAAATGACTCAGGCAAATAATTCACAGAGGCCGACTGTAAGGAATTCTTCACTGCACAAAGTGAGGTTGCATGATCTTTTAAAACATATTATGAATTGGATCAGCTCAGAGCGAAAAGAAAACCCACTCCCTTTTGAAGTGAACTCGCCCTGCTTCTTTCCCCTCACTGCTGTCCTTTCCTTGTCAGTTAGGCACACGGGAGTCAAGAGTCAACCCACCTCCAGTAATGTGCCCTCTGTTTAAATACCTGCCTCTGAAAGCCATAGGGAAAACTGCACAGGGTACACACTCAGAGAGGTTTGGATGGAAACCACACTTCTAATGGTCACTATGTCTGTGTACTAGAGCCAGTAACACCACACCTGAGTACCTTCTTAATCTGTACAAAAAGAGTACTTCCACGATTGTTACAAGGTTGAAAGATTAGTTATTGGAAGTACCTCGTACTCAGTGGGTGCTTAATAAGTGGTAGCACTTTTGCTGTCCCTATCGACTTAAAACAGTTCTCTCACCTACTTGTTAGGGTTGCTGCTAATATTCCTCAGTTACTACTCACATATCACGTCTCCAGATCCCCTCTTTTGAGCATAGGCCATGCCAATCATGGCATATGCTTCACCACAGAAATTTTGTTCTTTAAAGCAGATTGTCAAAGGAGATACTTGTTTCTTTCTCCAAATGGAGTTGATGCAGAGGTAGAACTGCCCCATCAACTGCTCCCTGACCTCCAAAATTGATGGCCTCACCTTTCCCAGCTGACTTTTCATCCATGTCCGAGGTAACACAGTAAAGTTTCTAGATATACTTCTTCCATTGAGATTCCAGTCTTTCCCTGTCTGTCAATAATATTCTAATATTTTTAGTGTTTACCAGGGTATTTCACCACAGGCAAACAAGATTCGAACTGTCTTTATAATCTTTCATCATTCTGAAACCCTACTAACCCACTCCTGTGACCAAGTTCTACACATATACTTGCTTTTCCCTCATTAACAAAGATGATAGAGCTCTAAGACCAGAGCTCAATAAGAGCCCTGCAAGCCTCAGAGGCCGTGCCCCAGGCATCTGCACAGAAACAGAAGCACCAACAATCTGAAAAACAGGGCTCAAAAGTGTCTATTCCTCAGATTTCATACTTCTGCAAGCCTTTTACGTTAGTGCACTTTAAATGACTCCAGCAGTAATGAAAGGACCAGAGGCTTACATCTTGTAAGTTTCTACTTGCTGGCAAATATGAGAGGCTCAAGAAACAGGATAAAAGCCAATACCTCCCCAAAGAGCCATTAAAGCCACCACCTACAAGGTCCCTTGCTAGAGAAATGTGCTGTACTAAAAAGAACCTTATGTAGGAGCTCAGACACCTGGGATCTCGTCCTCTTGTGGTTGCTAACTTGCTCTTCATGTAAACTAAGCTGTTGTTAGTATAAATGCGTTTGAAAGTTCCTTCTAATTCAACCCTTTATGGGCTGTAAAGAGTCTTTTATCTCAAGGGCTGTGGTTCTTAACCTTTATTGGGTTGCAGTCCCATTTGAAATCCAGTAGAATGTTATGAACCATCTGCTCAGAAAAGGCAGTACCTTCATGGAACTGTGTATGTCATCTTGGGGGCATCATGGAGTTCCAGAATCCACAGGCACTTGGCTATGATCTGGTTTTGTTTGTTTGTAGTTGTGTTTGTTTGCTTGTTTTTCAGGAAATAAAAGAGCATGTAAGCTAGAGGCAAATAAGAAGCAATGGCAACAATTCCTTGGATTCAGTCAGTCTTAAAAATGTTTCCTAACATTTGACCCTTTTTTACAGAAACGTTTTCTGTTTTGTTTTATTTGTTGATTGTTGGAAAGGAAGCTATTGGGTGAAGTAGGCAAAAGGAAAATCCAGACAGGCCTAGGCTTTGACATGCAAAACATGCTTAGCAGATTTGTCCTCAGAGGCTGGAGGCAAAAGCAGAAAGGCTACCTTCCTAAATCCATCCTGGGGAAAGACACTGGGTGGGAATCATTCATGCAGTCTGGCCCCACCAGATTTCATTAACACATCATGGTACCATAGTGCCAATCTGGTACTAGTCAGTGTTCATATCCTCAGGAAGAGACATGACACATTTTCCAAAGTTCAGCTAACATCCCTCCTCCCTTCCAAATACGGTAAACAATGGCCCCAACTCAAGTGGCCTTTAGATCAGAGTGAGACACCCCTAAGATCAGTCTTTAACCCTGAATCATTCAGAGTCCGATGACCTTTGAGGAAACAGTAAGTTCAGAGAAGTAGGGAAAACTAGGTTCCCCTATTCAATACAGGTCAATGGGTAATTTCACTTCAGTAGAGTTTGGAGCTTAAGAGAATCCAGCCATCCAGTGTCCTAGGAACGGCTCACAGCAGACATTCTGGGAAGGTGAAGACAGCATTCAAAGGAGAAACAAACACATGTCTAAGACATGTGCTCCTTATTTTATGACTTCCCAGACACTGAAGGTACAAGGCCAGAAATGAGCTGCTCTTCACTACCAAATAGCTCACAAGGGTCTGAAGTAGACCCTTTTACAACCTCGAAAGGGTCCCTCAAGGCCAAGTCCTTTCAAACCTAAAAAAGGAAAGAAAAAAGTAGCGAGTTAGGTAGGCCTGGGTGAATATTTAACAGGTATTGAGAAGTGGGGTCTCTCTAGCTACTTACCATGTAACTGGTACCTAATGTGAAAAGGGGACATTATTCTTCAGAGCCCAAGAAACAGGCTCAAGGCTGCTATAATTAGGACTAGAGGTTGTGCCTTTGACCCCACCTCCAATCCCTAAAAATCTATGGATAGGGGAAGCGAAATCCTGATACTAGAACTTCTGAGAGTGCCGCCCCACTCCACTCCCCTGCAAGTTAGCCACTACCTTTATGGTCCTTTCAGTATCTCCAAACTTCCTTTTACCAGGCCTTCATTTTTAAGGCTGATAAGGAGTGGCTTATCTATCTCTAGGCCATGGAGGACTGGCAGTGACAAGAAAAAATAGAGGGCTGAGAAGCCCATGGCAAGCCAAACTCCAGATACTTGGACCTCATTAATGTGCATATTGGTTCATGTCATGCCAGAGATCTGATAACCAAGCAATCAAAAGTTCTACGCAGAGAAAGACATTTCCCTGACCCCCAAGTCTCCTGTAACCTTAGCAAGCCACTTATCCCCTCTGAACTTAAGTTCCTTTGTTTGTTGAGTTAGAACACATAGTGTCCTCCTTACTTCTGGCATGTGATGTGGATCAAATGAGATCGTGGATATGAAAGTTCTGTGCACTAAAACAACATAAAGGACCAAAGGCGATGGTTCAGGTGGGAAGATCTGAAATCATGACTTGGTCTGAAGGAATGAAGTCCCACGATAGACACTTTGACATTTGCTGTATCAAAAGGGAGGTCGCTGGTTTCCTTATAGACTCAAAGGATGGAAGAGTCAGAAAGCTCCATCATCTCATTTTACAAACAAAAATTGAGACTTGATAAAGGAAATGTGCTTAGCCTGAGATTTCTAAAGAATTCAATTGAAAAGCAATCTTAAAATAACGTAGCTGGGGGAGAACTTCAAATCATACAAAAACTCCACAAATGAAATAAGGTTAAGGGATATGTAATTTTAGCGTAATGAAATGAGGCATGAATAAGTTCCCACCCTCTGAACTTGTGTGGTATTCTAGTCTTCAAAATCCTAAATGCCATGAAAAGGGCTTATTTGAAGAATGTTTTGTACTGAAGGGCAGAAACAACATACCTGTGGCCTCAGCTCTCATCTCCAGGAAGTTTTCCTTGAGAACTGTGGGCAAAAAAAAGACATTTCAATGAAGCCCTTGAAATTAGGACTAAAAAGGCTAATGCCAAAAAAGTCACTTGATTAGTGACTGATTGCTCAGATGTTTTAGTTCATTTTTTCTGGGCTGGTAAGATTTAGAGAATCCAGTTTTCTATCCATAAAGTCACCTTTCAGGTGTTAAAACAATCTTTTGAGTGCTAGACTACGGGAGACTAGATATAATAGAGAAGATGGTCTAAGACCACAGTTTACATCTTGTGATTATCATTACTGGTGAGAAGGGAAAGAAGGTAGTGGAAGTACTATATAAAGGACAAATTCTCCTTCGTCTTAAAAAAAAAACTAAACCAGCTTTTCTCAGCCTGTTGGTCAGCCCTACATTAGCCTTACTTACTCAGCTGAAAACTAGGGGAAAGAGAAAATCATCGAGAATAAATCTCCAACAATGTGGCCAGAGCATCCCACATAACAGCTGGTTCCCACAATTATATCCACAGCCTTCTATTTTTCTCCCATCTCTTGAAACTACTTATAACTAGTTGCCTAAATTATCTTGTTCCTATTCATGGTTTCAATTGCCTCCAAATATTTGGAATCTTCTTCCAAAATTGCTACACACACAGACACACACACACACACACACACACACATACACAGAGAGAGAGAGAGAGAGAGAGAGAGAGAGACAGAGACAGAGAGAGACAGAGAGAGAGACAGAGAGAGAGAGAGAGAGAGTTCTGTAATACAGAGGTTGCACCTAACATATCTATTACTAAATCTACACAGGCTCCACCCTGACAATTAGTTTAACTTAGGTTACTCACTGGGCATCTCTATCTGGATGTCTCACACTGTCTACAATGTCACTGTTTGAAATTGAGAGCAAATGTCTCACAAAACCTGTTTCTTTATAATTAATTGCTGTGCCATCTACCAAATTACCCAAGTTAGACTTGTCTGTCTCAGCACTTCCACAATGTTTCACATTAAAAAAGGCGGCAGGGTCTGTTTGCACTGATCACAGATCTGTCCTTGTATTCCATTCCCACAGCAACACCTTAGGTCAGGACTTTCATCAACTCTTGACAGCAGGATTTGTTTCCTAATTGGTCTCCTTGCTTCCAATCTTTACCACCAGGGTGATCTTTTTACAACTCAGCCAGCTCAGAATGTGCACCACCACTTAAATATCTTCCATGACCTACCCCCAGCAGACTACAATACAAAGAGCAAACACCTTAATATGTCATACAAGACCTTTGCAGTCTGGCTCTAATCTATTGTCCTGGTGTTACGTTCAGCTACACTTTTTCTTTTCACTCCCATAATATAGACAAAGTGGGACACTAATCATGTTTGAAGCTGTATTGCCTTATGAAAACATTCTCTCCTCCCTTCTCTTCCTGACAAATCTCTAGTAATGTTTCCTTCCAGTTTTTCTTTTTAACTGTTGAAGAGGGCAAGGGAATGAGGAACAGATGCTATCAAAATGGCAGATTTTAGTCAAGTAAGCAAATGGAAAACTAAAATATGCAAGGCAATGGTTAAACAGCTTAGCATTTTTTATATGAGATGATAGAAGGGGCTGGCAACAATGACCATATGAAGGGTTAGCCACATGACAAGTAACATTTTCTGAAGTGGTCAGCATGTGTATACACTAATGGGAGTGGTGGATTCCAGAAGGGAGGGATATTTTTCTTATGCAGCTTCTGAGTAAGAAGAACTTACAAGTAGCCAGGATGACCTACCGAAGGAAGGTGTAGTTTAGTCTTACCTATATTCTATTAAATGTGATTAAGTTTAGGTTCTAGAAGACCAGATAATGAATGGCTAGAATAGCACAGGCTGAAGTGCCTGCTTTGGTGAAGGTCTTCTGGCCTTGTGGTTGGTCTAACTCTACCCTGAGCGTTGGCTGACATGTCCCAGATCATTGGCAATGTTACTAATCTTTCTAAGCTCTCAACATCAGTTTGGCAATAGTTTTTCCTACTGAAAGTTAGCCTGCACTAACAATTCTACTGAATTTTATTTATGCATCTTAAATATTCCCTTATTGATGCCTTGACAGCCTATCCTAAGATACAGTTCAAGCCCCCAAATACTGCTGCATATTTCTATTTGATCAAGCCCTCCAGCTCACATATTAACTCTTCCCAAAAGCTTTCTTTTCAACATGCCTGATTCTTTCTGTTCATACTAGTTTATTTCCTTTAAGCTTTCCGGTGTTACTTTCTCAAATGATTTCTTTATTCTAGGGAGAGGAAAAGGATGCCAAGAAGTAGGAACCAACTTTATCAAGAACCCAAGGCTTCAAGTATGATGTACAAACACTTTAGCATTGAGCTATAATCCCCAGATCCAAATCCAAAACCTTTTTATCTTCATGCCCCTGGTAAAAGAAATCAGGGACTTGACCTCACTTTCATTTGTTACAGTAAAATAAATGATGAGCTACTGTCTAAACAGAATTTGGATGAATCCAGAGCTGCCTGTGGCTGCCAAGCTAACCATGGTAACTTATCATGTGGAATCACATGCTGGTGAATTAGATCCCATGGTATTGTAAGAGGATGTCAAACCTATCCGGGCCTCATTGGTGGTAAAGGTGTATTGTTCTGCTTTTAACTGACCACCTAGAAGAGTTAACTCTTGTTCTTGTCCAGGAAGCACAATTTAAAAACTCTGATTAGCCACATGGAACAAACAGCAAACACCTTGAAGACTAAGCAACCATAACTCCAGGTGCTTTTGTCCAAATGCCTAGGGCTTGAACAGTTTGTACCAGCGCTCAAAAATTTTTAAAAACAACTAGGAGGAAGGATGAACAGAAGGAAAAGAGAGAAGAAATTGGGGGAGGGGGAACAACAAAAGGAGGAAATAATGGATTCTCAGGCCCCACTCAAAAGATCAATTTTAGTGAGGGTAGAGTAGAATCCAGGAATTCGGGATTATTTTCTTTTTACAATTTTTCAAGAGAATTAGATGTATAGTCAGTTTGATAATTATTGACTGAGGAAACTGTTTACCTTTAAAATGGGAGCCACACTTACTCTGAGTCTTAAGAGAAAAGAATGCTATATTCTACATGCCTCTGTCAGCTGACCTTATACAGTATGAAATCTAAAGAGGAAAAATAATAACAAAAATACCTTCATTGGGTTTTTTCCTGTATCTTGAGATATGTGCTGGCTAATTTTTTATCAACTTGACCCATGGGCTATAGTCATCTGAGAGGAGGGAGCCTGAACTGAGAAAATGCCTCCATAAGAGCAGGCTGCAGGAAAGTCTGTGGATCATTGTCTTAATTAGTGACTGATGGGGGAGGGCCCAGCCATTGTCGAAGGTACCAGCCATGGGCTGGTGGTCCTGGGTTCTATAAGAAATCAGGCTGAGCAAGTCGTGAGGAACAAGCCAGTAAGCAGCACCCTCCATGACCTCTGCATCAACTCCTGCCTCCAGGATTCTGCCCTGTTTGAGTTCCTGTCCTGGCTTCCTTCATTGACAGACTATAGTATGTAAGTGTAAACCAAATAAACCCTTCCTTCCCCAAGTTATTTTACTCATGATGTTTCATCACAGAAACAGTAACCCTAACTAGGACAAGATGTGTGGACATACAACAGTGTACATGCACATGTATGTCTGTGAAGGAGAAAGAAAAAAAGAAGTGAAAAAATGAATAAGAAAAGAGACAATAGAGACAGGAGTTAAGAAGAACAAGAAGGGTGACATAAAGAGAACATAGACAGAGAAACACAAAAAGTGACAGAAAGAAACTGAGAATGGCAGAGGCACATGTAAGGACAAGTAAAAGTAAAAGACAGGACACAGATGAGAAACAGAAGCCAATCTACAGTAAGTGCAGGAGAAAGAGGTGGGAAAGCAGGGAGAGATGGGGGAGAAAACAACTATAGAGAAACAGAAAAGGAGATGGGAAGAGCAGAAGGTGATGAGATGCACTTGGTGCATTTATTCAAAACTTCCATCTGCCTTCTCTTCTGTCTCCTGTGTCTCTTACCTTCCAGTTTTCCGGGATGCTGTTTCAAAGAATCTGGTCCTGGATGCAACCCTGCAAACAGAAGCCAACCAAGTCTGATGAGCTCCAGGGAAATACATGTGCGAACCAAGGACCAATGGAAAGGACATGACACTCTGTACCAGATTGGTCACCAATATCAGGCCCTAAGAATTAAGGCGAAACTTGAATATCAGAATGATAAATGGTTCCGAAGCCACAGGCACCCCGAGGCAACAAGTAAGACCCTTTATAACATATTGGCCCAGAATGGTCAAAGTTTGTGGCCTACTCAGACCAGTCTTTTGAAAAGTAAATGAAAACAATCTTGGGTTTTAAATTGTGGTTTAGGGAACTTTGTAAATATGCTTTGCCAATTAGCTGGAGTTGTGGAAGCTTTGTTCTTTCCCTAATTTTGCAATTACGGGAAATAAAAGACACAAGAAAAAGGAGGATCGGGAAGCCATGTGCTAAGAAGGGTCCAGGAGGAGAGTCTGAGGAGGGCCACAGGAGAGGTCAGGCAGGCTGACTATGGCCAAACAAAGTTGTGTCCTTGGCTCTACTTCATCCCTAGCTCCCCATCTCACTGCCCAGCCATTAGAGGGCCTACTGGATGTTAGCTCTGCCCCTGTCCTACGAGAGGATCTTTAGAGGACCTGAGGCATTTTGGAAGATTTTTTAAAATGTACCCTTTTCTTGCAAGAAAGAAAGAAAAAAAGCCCCAAGGACAAGTACAATGACAAAAAATGTGCTCATTAAATTATTTAAAAAACAGTAGCAATAACACAAAATAAAGACAAGATTTCTAGAGCAAAAAACTGAAAGTGATTTTTCTATTCCAGAGACAATAGGACAGCTAAGAAAAAAATGGGTCTCTGTGAAAAATTCTTCATCTATAGTGAAATAGCTCAGTTTTGGGTGGTGAATGGAATATTCCACACAGGAACAGCATTGAATAGTCTTCTAGATTATGAAAAGAATTATGTTCCAGAACTGTGCAACCAGAGATGGCAACCCCAAAGGCACTTCTAATGGTCAGCATAGGCCTGTCATCAAGTTGAGGGAAAACATTACTTACACAGATGATGGGATTTCCCCTGCATTGCCAGCCACAGTATCTGGCTTTGGTTCTGGCTTTTGTGAAGTACTGGCCCGGCAAGGAGGGTCTGGGGGCCTCACGGGAGGACGGATGATTGTTTGCTTTTCTCCTGGGGGCCGAACTTTGCTGAAACAGTCAGTATCTCCTAGAAGAGAAAGCAACACCAGTCACCCAAATAGAACACTAAGCATCAGTATTAGGTGAACTGGGGTTGGCTGGGCCATCTTCTCTGGTTCCCTTTTTTCTTGATTAACAATTCTTTATTTAGATTTTAAAACTCTTCTGGCTGCTGACCTTTAGAAAGCCTGCATTTAAACCTGGACTGGCCGGTTGTGGTGGTGCACACAGGATTTGCTGAAGGAGACAGAGGCAGGAGGATCGCGAGTTGAGGCCAGCCTGGGCTACACATTAAACCTGGATTGTACACCTTCATGTACCTTATGTTTATTATGAATTTCCTAATTCTACATTTCCTTGGCTTTATGATTCAAAGTAGCAACACACTAGTTTACAGAAATTGAAGGGATTAAGTTAGGTACTAGCATTTTCACTACAGTGCTAGCCACATAGTAAGTGGTTGATGCCACATCATAGGTGATTGATGAAGAAGCTGAAGATTACAAATTCATCACCACTAAAATTCAGCTCCTGAGAGTGGAGAAATGACTTAGCAGGTGAAAGTACTTACTGCTCTTGCAAAGGACCCAAGTTGGGTTCCCAACACCCATGTCAAGAGGCTTGCAACACAACCTGTAACTCCAAATCCAGGTGACTCAACATTTCTGCTGGACTCTGTGAACAACTACACTCAAGTGCACATTTACATACATATGTACATATAATTAAAACTAATATAAATCTAAAAATTTCCAGATCCTTTCAGTACTAAAGTATACTCCTAACTTATCTACCTACCTCCAAATTTCTGGCTTACAGATTACTCAGAAGAAATAAAATACAGTTTTTATGAAATGGTACAGGCAGGATTAGGTAAAAGAGATGTACTCACATACTGCTGGTGGCACAATAAATTGAACTCATTCTATATAGATACCTATCAAGCATTCTAGAACAATCTGGATGAAACACAAAATCATGCATAGGCAATAATGCATACTTGTTTCTCCAGTAAATCCACTTTGAAAAAAAACTCAAAGGAATTCAACCAAGATAAAAAAAACCAATTGGCACAAAACATATTCTAATATCAAAACATCAGACACAACTACAAAGGCTAAACAAGTAATCTAATCTTACAAGCAATTAACCAATACACATTACATATAAACTGCCAAAATTTTGACAGGGTCAAGATAAAAATATATATATGAAATAGTATAAAGTAAAAATGAATCCATAAAGCTGGGCATGGTAGCTCACATGTGTAATCCCAGCACTGGGAAGTCTAAAGCAGCAGGATTGACATTAGTTCAAGACTACGTTGATCTACACAGTAAGTTCCAGGCCAATGTAAGCTACAGAGTGAGACTCTGTCTCAATTAATGAAGGAAAGAAAACTCTACACAAAAGTGCTCCTGTCCCATTGAAGACAATTTTAATATATCCATATGTGTAACAATGCAAGTGCAGTAGATCTTAATATTTGCTTAATATTAGGAGATCTTGATTGCCATTCTTCTGTAAGATGTTTAAAGTAAAAATAAAAACAATAAATCCCATCTATATAATACTGCTTTCTATAGGATTTACTTAAGTTTACAGTTTTATTTTTCCTCAAGTGCTTCTCAGTAGCTCTAAAACACACAGAATTAAGTTCAAACTCCTCAGCATAAGTTCAAGACCTCCTTTAAGCTATCTCTAAATCATTGTTACAGGAACAACCAGGAGACATCACCTACCAAGTCTACTCTATAAAACTGTTCTCTTCATCGCCCCATCAAAACAAATCTTAATTTTTGGTTATATTGTATGCTATAAGAGAAAGTACAGAGGGTCTAACATTGTGAAGACTTCTATGTGTGGTTTTATTATTCTACTTCCAAGTAGTGAGAACATGAACAGTGATTTAATCTCTTTAACTATCATTTTCTAATTTGGGAAATGGGTATGTAACAATATCTTTTCACAAGGTGGGTATGTAACAATATCTTTTCACAAGGTGGTTATAAGAATAGACACAGTGTCTAAAACAAGCTGAGGTAAGTAGGTGTTAAACCATTTTGCTTCTTTCCTTCTATGAACTCTTGAGCTTTCATCATCTGCACTATATCCATTTCTTAAGAGTGTATAGGAAGAGGGAAACATAGCACTAGGGATGCCTGAAGAGGTTATATGGAGAGCTATTATTTTATAAGATTCCTAAATGCTTAAAGTAATTTAATTGGAGTCACCATAAAGAGGGAGTAAACTTCCTTCCAGAAGCTATAGTTTACCAAATAAAAAGCCTGGTGCCAGGTGTGAGATACCTCCCCTCAATTTGTTGATCAGAAGTGTCTTAGGCACCCCAAAACAACACAGTCCATTGCAATTGCTCTTTGCTGGCCACAAAAACTTGATGGTAAGACCCTATTGCTGAAGATACCACATACCTTGGACACAGAATATGGAGAAATCAAATTAGCACCAATCAGGAAGCCTTCTCTCTCTGATGGCTAGCTTTCATAATACCAGAAGGTTATATGAATGCTGTTGAGGGGAAAAGTTATCAGTAGTCATGCCTATTTGTGAATCCTATATGATAAAATAACAACTGGCCTGGAAAGATACGCTTATGGATGCAATACTGCATGAATGTTACAGGGGTAACCAACTACTTTCTGGTTGGATTTAGGATCTCCACAAGAGAAAAGATATGCCTGATACTACAAGTATTGCCTCAAATACATGGTTAAAACCTACTGCTATCACTTTGATAGACATAGACTCAAACTGCCTCTAATCTGTTTCCTCTATATACACATATAAATGTAACTGTCAGATATCATCAGAGCAGTTTACTTGTTCAATGGATAACATTTAACACAGAAACTCACAACTAGTCAAAGTGTAGAGAACAGTTGCCCATGGTTTCATATCTCATCTTCCCAAAGCTCAGGCATCCTTGCAGAAGAAAGAATGGAAAGATTATGAGAAGAACTCAGTGTCTTCTGGATGTTGCAAGACTGTTGCACTCATGAGCCCACCTAAGCTGTGGCTATATACAAAACCTGTATACGATCAAGCTAGTCAACATTCCAGTATGGAGAGGGGATGGGCATGTAAGCCCACATACAGCTGAGGAAATACTGATGGCTGATAGCTGCTATGGAATGGAGAGTCAGTTTTCTTTATACTATGGCTCCTGGTAGGACAAACACACTCTAGTGGATGACCCCCATACTCAAGAGTATGTGAGCCACACAAATCAGACTCAGGAGGTTTTATAAAAATAAAAAAGAAGACACAAATTTGAAAGGGGTGAGAGTATGGAGGGATCCAGGAGGAGTTGTGGGGAGGAGGGGGGGGACAAATGATAATATTGTATGCAATTATGACATTTTTAAAAATTAATAAAAACACCATAATTATGTTTTATAAGATCCAGCTCAAATCTGAGCTACATATTTTTTAAAAATCATCCACTGAGAAATCTCAAGGGAAAAGGTAAGGTTCTAATAGTACTAGTATACTAGTATACTGGTAGATGAAGGAGTAAAATGTTATTCCTGTTTACAGATAGAATTTCTATCTCCCCACCTAGGCTCTGTCTTACATTTATGGACATGCTATTAACTTTAGTATCAGGCTGATATTTTACAATTGCATTAGAACGAAATAATCAAAGCAAAAACAATTTATTTTTCCCTAACAAATTTATACTGTTTGAAACATTCTCCTAGATGATGTTCATAGTAAACTGAGAAGAAAAAAATAGAGACTTCATGTCATTTCTACTTTATGGAGAAGGAAAGTGGAACTCAGAATGGTAAATCCACATACTCCTTACCTATATGGTTAGATTATGGTAGAGTAATGACTGAAATACTTATCTTCTGTTTCCATATCCACTACTTTCTCTGGTGACTGCTATGTTGTCACTATTTGTAGAATATAAAATTGCAAATACTAATGATAGTAGTAAAAATATGAGTAAAACAATAGTTACTATTTATTTTTATTGATTGATTTTTCAGTATAGTAATTAATTCCAGGGTCTCACACAGTTCCAGTTCTTGCTGCATGTATTATCAAACACCAGCTCCTTTCCTAGTACTCTAACACTGTATTTTTACACAGTTTTCAGAGTTAAGATTGCCCATCGTTCTGTATACAAATGTTATGCCTTGGGGAAAACACTCTAAAATGAAAAGGAACCTCAAGGTTTACCGTAACATATGCATGTGCATGTGATTTCTGAAAACTATGTAGTTTCGGTTATCAATGGATTTTAACGCTGGTTACACATTAGAACATGTGAAGATTTTTAAATATACAGTGCCCAGGTCCCATCCTCAGCATTCCTAGTTCGACTGGGCTAGGAGTTGTACATGAGTATTTCAATGTTCCCCGGGTCATGTGACAATGGGCAGTGTGAGCATAAAGTTGAAAGCCATACAACACGGCTTCCTCACTGCAGGTCACAGATGACCAGAGATGACAGTGCTATCCCATTTCTACTAGTTACTGGAGTGGGGAGTTTGATAGGAAAGATACTACACTTTCAGAGACAGAAACTATTTCTACCTCAAGTCATGCCTATCCTAGGGCTCATTTCTCTGGATAAGGACCGCAGACATCACCCTCGAAAGAACAACTTCAATCATTACCTTTACAGCCACATCCAAATGGAAATCTAACTAGGGCCTGGAAAGTAAGCACCATTAACTATCTGTCTGATTAGGTCCTTTTTATATGCAACTACAACTTGATGATTCATTACAAGTCATGCTTTGAAGTAGCAGCAAAAAGGTTTCTTGGCTTAAAGACCCCGGTGTTGTTCTTTCTTGCCTCTAATTTGTCTCCGTCACAGTTAAGCCACAATGTCAAACTGGCAAGACATAGAAAGAAATCATCTAACTAGGAGTCAAGAAACCTGAGTTCTCATCTTAATACTAAAACTAGCTTGTGTAAGTTCATTTCTCTGCCAGTACAATATGAAGATTGGACTGTTTCTGCAGATGAATCAGTAGATGCTATCAGTCTGTA